AAAAGTTTGATCCCTAAAGCAAGGTTTCAGTTGAAAAATTAACTCTAGAAATCTCACAAAAAATTTTATTTACAGTTGCGAAAAACTGAGGAAGAGTTTAGATTGGTAAATAAAAGAGCGTTTCCTCAGGTACAAGTTTTTCGCAAGGCAGACCCATTCACCTGGGTCATATCGTTCTGTCTGCTCTTCACATTTAAGGAGAAAAATCATTGGAAACTTTTTCAGCAATAATGCAACTGTTCCGAATTTATAGTCTTGAGTCTCTGAAAAAAAGAAGTACGAATCAGATGGATTTCTTCGGCATTTCGAGATTCAGGANGTGNTTCCCCATTAAATACAAAAAAAAAATACGAAAAATACATAAAATACGTTTTTTCGCATGCATGCATTAATTTTTTGTGTTTAAAAATTACAAAAAAAATACATTTTTTATATCATGAATAACCCCATGTGAAACGGCTTTTCTGGCCCATTTTTCCCTCTTATTTCGGAGAAGGGCGCCGATTGGTGGCACCCCGCTATTCTTCGTACAGTTACATTGGTTACCGAGTTTTTCCCTTTTGTTACCGGTTTCTCGAGCATTTGCTCAAATTTCCCTAGTTGCCTTTCTTCCCATTGCCTTCTAGTTACCGTTGCCTTCTAATTGTTACATGCCCCGCAAAAATGAACCAGTTGCGTTTATAAAAATCTGCCTTATTGTATTCTTTCTTTCGTCTCGCTGTCTTTCTGGGCTCGTGGTGAATTCAGTACTTTCGATAAGCGTTCCCGTCTATCCGTTTCTCTCCGTCTCTTCGTCTCTTACTCTCTCTTTTCTTACTTTCCGAACTCGTGCTCGGCGCTGGCCGGAGTGAAATATTCTCTCGCGGAGCCTGTACGTTTTCGACTTTTAAACTCGGTAGTAGTTTCGTATTTTCGAAGTTATTTTTTCTTCACATAAAGTTTTACAGGATGAGTTCAGCTTATCGCAGGCGTGTCGTACTCGAATCATCGGAGGAATCCGATGCCGGCGAAAAGGTGAGAAATGACGATATGCATCTGTAATGAAACATGTTTCTTTGTTTCAGAGCGAGAACGATCACTCAAAATCTGGATCTCCAGAAGGCGGAGCTGAGCAGAACATATCGGAAATATCTGATATTTACAAGACGCCAGAAGAGTCAATTATAGCAGATTCAGTGCTTTTGAACAACTCGGGAGTCAATGCAGGAATGGATATTGAAGAATGTTCGCCGCCTATCTCAAACCACTCGGGAAGTTTCGCTACATCGACTCCAAATTCAAAATCACGAGCTTCATTCAAAGTCGATTCGTCATATGCGAGTTCAAAGAGTTCCCCACAAAACCATGACCATGACCGCAGTCTCGTCGAAAATGATGAAAACAAGCCATTGACACCAATCTCCAAAAAACTAATCGAATCAAATGATCCGAGATCGAAGGCAAAACTTCGTGAACGTCTTTTAAGAAAGTCACTGAAATCCAAAAATCAGAGTTCTGAGAACTTGGAAAAGTCGGAATCCGTGGGAAAAGTAGGAGGGTGGGGATCGTCGCTTGGAGAAGGTTCAAGTGAATCGACCGATCTTTTCAACTCGGTTCTCTCTCCAATCAACAAAGTTTCCACTAGCAAATTGGATTTTGATGCAGAGACTTTCATGGTAAACAATCATTATTAAATATGAATTTTTATTAATAACATTTATTACAGAACATTCCGCCTATAGCCACATCCACACAGATCAATCATATCGATGAGACTGAAAATGTTATGGAAACGATTGTTGATAACCAAGGTAACAAGTCGGAATCGTTGTTCGGAACACCAACACGTGTAAAACAGGACGAAAGTGATATGGAGACTCTACTAAAACTGCCTCCCCCGTTGAAGAATACCGAAATTTTAGCCAACTCTGATGACAGTGATATCATGATTGTTTCTTCACCTCCTTCACAACAAAGACAAAATCCACAATTCAATATACAGTTTGAACAAGAAGATTATACAAAGTTGTCGTTCAAGGATCTTCTTGCGAAGAAAAATCACGTTATGGGATTGATTTCACTTGCGGAGAGTTTGCCGGACAAAGGTGCAGCTGTTCTACGAAAATTCAATGAAATAGACGACGAAATAGAAAGAAGAAAAGACTTTGGCTTGGATATCAGAGAACCATCTGACGACGATGATGAGGATATCATCGTGTTGAGCGATGATGAGCCAACGTCTAGCCGTCAACCATCGTTCCCCGTAGGCCGAGTTGCACCGAAGCCACCTCCAAGAAGGATTGATCCTCTGAACGTACCTAAGCCAGATTTTAACGCAATGCTGGACAAAAACAACAAGAAATTGATGGCTGGCAAAATGACAGACGAGAAGTACCGTCGTGTTCAACTGATTTCGGATCGAGTAGTTCAGCAGCTAGCTGAGTTAGTTCCCTTTCCAAATCGGTTGCTTATTCGTTTTTTTTACAGAGCTACTCACACAATACCTGGCGAAACGGATCTAACTGAGACACCGAAAGGATTCAAAATCGACCTGATGCCCCATCAGAAAGCTGGCCTCACATGGATGTTGTGGAGAGAATCGCAGCCGCAACCTGGTGGAATTCTGGCTGATGACATGGGTCTTGGAAAAACATTGTCTATGATTTCGCTGATCGCTCATCAAAAACAAGCTCGCATTGCTCGTAAAGATGCAGGAGATGATGAACGTGATAAAGAAGAACGAAAAGTGGTGAAAGAACAAGGACTCACCGCCTCGAACAGCACACTGATTGTGGCACCGGCAAGTCTTATCCACCAGTGGGAAGCTGAAATAACGCGGAGACTCAAGGATGACGCTCTGTCAGTTTATATGTTCCATGGAACTAAGAAACAGAGAAATATTGATGCTAGGCGTCTTGCTCGTTACGATGTTGTAATTACCACTTACACTCTCCTCGCGAACGAACTTATCGAAAAAATCAAGACGAAATCTAAAGCCGATAGTTCGTCCGATGACGATATGGATAATTCGAAAAGTGGAATCAGAAGAGCTGTTGGAAAAGATGACTCAGTTCTAGCTCAAATCTGTTGGGCGCGAGTTATTCTAGACGAAGCACATGCCATCAAAAATCGTCTCTCCCTTGCTTCAAAAGCCGTATGTCGGCTGTCTGCATTCTCTCGTTGGTGTCTTTCTGGAACGCCAATCCACAACAATCTCTGGGATCTCTACAGTCTTATTCGGTTCTTGCGTGTTCCACCGTTTAGTGATGACACGTATTGGAAAGAATCGATCATGCCTATGAAGGCAATCATGGCGGATCGTGTGAATTTGCTCACTAAAAACCTACTTCTGCGTCGAACGAAGGAACAGACGTGTGCGGTTACCAACAAGAAGCTTGTTGAGTTGCCACAGAAGATTGTGAAAATACACGAGTTGGAACTTGGAGGTGCTGAGGCACAGGCGTATGATATCATGATGGCAGCTGGAAAGTAAGTTTATATGGAATATTCCTTCGCAGTTTTGATTTTTTTTTTCAGAAAATTCGTCAAAAAACTCCTTGAGAATAGCGACGATATGAGAAACCACGGATTCGTTCGTCGTCGTAAACGAAATGATGAGGATGATGTTCAAAATCCATTTAATTGTGAGTCAACGCTTTCTTTTAAAATTTCTCATAATTTCAATTTTTCCAGTTGGACCAAGGAATCTAGATTCTCGCTCCAATTTCGAAAAGATGTCGTATGTTCTTCTTCTCCTCCTACGCCTCCGACAAGCATGCGTTCATTTTCACATCACTAAATCTGCGATGGACATGGATGCGTTCGAACTAATCGGCGGGGATGAAGATAGTGCGGATATAGATGATCTCAGCGATATGATGGATAAAACTATGAGGATGCTAGAAGATGATGATGAGGATGATGAGCAGGCACGAGTGCAAAATCCATCTCGAATTTTCGAGCCAGACTATCTCAGCTGTAAAATGAAAGCCACACTGGAAATTCTCAACGAGGCGACAGAGAAGAATGAGAAAGTGTATGTGATATTTTATGCTGGTTAAAGTTTAATAAATCCTCTTCTTTCAGTGTCGTCGTTTCACAATGGACTTCAGTTCTCGATTTGATCAAAAAACATGTTAAAGAAAATGGTATTCGTTACACATCAATCACTGGTCAAGTTCTAGTCAAGGATCGACAGGAAAGAGTCGACAGCTTCAATCAAGAGAAAGGTGGTGCCAACGTCATGTTGTTATCTCTCACTGCTGGCGGTGTTGGACTGAATTTATGTGGTGGCAACCATCTAATCATGGTTGATTTGCATTGGAATCCCGCACTAGAACAACAAGCTTTTGACAGAATTTATCGAATGGGACAGAAGAAACCAGTCTTTATTCACAGGTATTTATTATGACCCCAATATAAAAAGTAGGCAATAAGTTTTTTTTTTTTAGATTAGTCACTAATAACACGATTGAACAACGAGTCGCAGAATTACAAAAATCAAAACTCCAACTTGCCTCGTCGATTCTCGATGGAACTGCTACGCGAAAGATGAACAAGTTGACAACATCTGACATCAAAATGCTTTTCGATTTGTGAATAATTCAATTTTTTCGTTATTTTCACCCTTGTAGTATTTAGCTTTATAGAAATCACCCGCCCTCTTGTCAAATCCCCAGTCAATTTTCACCAAACTAAATAGCCGACTTCTAATTTCTATTTTTCTTCTGTGAATATTACGCCTTCTCGGGTAATTGAATGGCTACGTTTCAATAAGAGTAATTTTATTAGTTTGTAAGCAGTTGTACAATAAATATACAGAACCAATAAACGGACAGTGTAGCACGGGGACTTCAAACTACAAAAATTCCGCCTTCTGGATCTATAAGTGGATTCTAATGATCGAAAATTAAAACATTTCAAGAAGAAAATTTTCGATAATTCCCTCTCAATTTTTGCCGGATAATTTATTTCAGGGATCTCATACTTCCTAATTTTCAGTTATATTTTGAACTGTGAGAAACTGAAAAATAGACTGATCAGTGATCACAGTTCTTCTTGTCTTTTCCATTCTCCACCTTAGACCACGGGTCTCTATGATAAATACCTGAAAAAATAAATGATGTTTTATTTTTTGTCGAAAGTTCCTTATATAATAAAGGGAAGGTTGGAAAGATGAAGGCGATTGTGTCAAAACATTCATAAAGAACACCGTCATGTCTACTAAATTATTTTTGATTTTTTCTTTCTTCTTCTTGTCTGTTAACTCTGTAAATGTATTGGTTTATTCTCCTGCTTTTGCTGCAAGTCATACTAATTTTATGGCGAGATTAGCGGATACTTTGACGGAATCAGGCCATAATGTAGTGAGTTTTCTCATGATTTGGGCATGAAAATCTCCGGAATTTCAGACATTTTTGGTTCCAATTATAGACGTGGCAAGAAGAAACCAATTGGGTGTGCGACTTACTACAGATGTGCTTGTTGTGGAGGTGTTTAGGTTTTCGTAAAAATCTGAAAATTTTATTTCTTTTAGCAAGACGATAAAGCAAGACAGGAGCATATACCATTTGATGAGAGTATGGAAGCATATTGGACGGAAGAGACCGATTCGTCTAATGTCGAAGATGTGAGATTTGAAAAAATTTCTTCTAGAAAAACTTTTAAGAATCCTCTTTCTGATATAACATAAAGTACTTCACACATTAATAGAATAGCCCTTCTAACTCTAAACTTGGAGCCAATTTATCTCGGTTCCTGGGAAAGATATCAAAAAATGGTTGACTGACAAAATATTTTTGATATTATGATAAACATTCTGTCAGTTGACAACTTTTTTTATATATTTTACAGGAACCAAGGTATATGGGCTCAAAGTTGAAGGTATTGGGGACATTACCATATTTTCTCTAATAGAAACCCACCAACTTCGAGCTCAATTGTCTCGATTCCTGTGAAAGATATCAGAAAGTTGTCAACTGAGAAATCATTCATCATAATATCACCAATATTTTAGTAGTTGACAAAAATGTTATGTCTTCTGCAGGAATCGAGATAAAAAAGCTCAAAGTTAACGGTTTGGTGACATTACTGTATTTTCTATAACCGCCACTTTGCGCTCAATTATCTCAGTTCCTGTGAATGGTCACAAAAATATTTCAACTGATAAAATGTTTGTGATATTACGATAAACATTTCATTAGCGAAAAGAATTTTGATATCTTTCACAGGAATCGAGATAATTGGGCTCAAAATTTGAGGCTTCTATTAGAGGAAATACGGTATTTTAGAGTGTTTACGTACGGTATTCAAGTTCTCGAAACTAACTAAAAAAATTCTCAAAAAGAATGATATCAGGAACTAGTGTTCTCGAAAAAATTCTCGAATCTGAAACCGGTTTGATGTTTTTATTTTCGAGTTAAAAAAAACAAATTGATGAATCATTTCAGTCTATCAAATGGTTTTTTGACGGAATGAAAGTGGGATGCGAGAACTTTCTGCGAGACAAAAATGTTTTCGATTTGATGAAGTCTCGAAACTTCGACGTCGCGATTTTGGAACCACTATCCGTTTGTGGACTTGGATTTTTTGAAAAATTGGGAATCGAGAAAACGATTTTGGCGTCTTCATGTGCAAACTATGACTATTTATTCCGACATTTGGGTGAACCAAATGAATACAGTTATGTTCCATCTTTGATGAGTACAAAAGGAGAGAAGATGAACTTTTTCGAGAGATTTGAGAATTATAAAGTTTCAGAAGTAAGAAATAAACTAACATTTTAATAATAAAAACCGATTAATTCACTTCAGGGAATGAGCAGAGGAATCAGTAGAATGTTCGATGCAGAGCAAAAAACTTATCGAAAGTATCTTGGCAATAATATTCCAGATTGGAGAGATTTACTTCCAGCTGCTTCTTTGTTTTTCACGAATTCCAATCCATATTTGGACTTTCCACGACCTGTTCTTCAGAAGACTGTTCCAATTGGTGGAATATCAGTTGATATGGAGAAAATAAGATCACACAAACTGAATGAAGAATGGAACTTTGTTCTGAATCAAAGGAAACATAATCTACTGATATCATTTGGCTCAATGGTCCACTCGTCTCATATGCATACTGAAGCAAGGGACAATATACTAAAAGTGATTCGATCAGAACCAAATGTCACTTTTATTTGGAAATATGAAACCAATGAAACATCATTCGCCAATGGAATTCCAAATATTCATTTCTCCAAATGGGTTCCTCAACCAAATCTTCTCGGAGATCCCAGAATTTCTGCTTTTCTCACACATGGAGGACTTGGAAGTACAAATGAATTGGCTCATTGTGGGAAGCCAGCAATCGTGGTTCCGATATTTGGGGATCAACACAGAAATGCGTACATGTTAGAGAGACATGGTGGGGCGATTGTCGTACAGAAAACTGAACTTCACGAGTGGAAAACGTTGAAATCAGCTGTGACGAAAATTTTGTATGACGGAAAGTATAAGAAAAATGCAATTCATTTGGCGGATCTGCTTCTGAATCAACCACTGAAACCAAATGATCTAGTAACGAAATATGTGGAATTTGTGGCCAAGAGACTAGATAAAAGTTTATCGTTTTAAAGTAACTTATTTTCAGATACGGACCATTTCCGGAAATGGACCCATACGGACGAAAGCTGAACTTCTTCCAACGCCATCTTCTGGATGTTTGGTTGATGGAAACTTTGGGACATCTTGTACTATTCTTGGTTATATTTTGGGTGATACCTTTCAGATTGAGAAAAATGGTGACCGAAAGGAAATAACTTGTATCCTATTTTTTTGTAAACTTTATTGTAGAAGATTGATAGCAATTTCAAGACTGGTTGGTAAAATAAAACTTTCACTTTTCTGTTCTTTTCATAATTTAATAAAAATCTTTGGCCATTGAATTCTGTTAGCTGCTAAAGCATTTCAATCAACTCAATAAAACATTAATTGAATGTTATAAATCATTTTAAGAAATATAAAAAGATTTTTTCTCATACATGGAGACAATTGTCTAGTCGCAATGTGATTTCTGATTACAATTTTTTGTGGTTTGTGAACACAAAAAGGTGGTTCTCTGTCCTACGAAATTGAAAGAAGAATCAGTATATGAGAGACCTAGAACCAAATCATTCTGAGACGTTTTGAAGTATGCTACTCTATATTTTGTTACTCTCATTATCTACAACTTCTATAAATTCTCTAAATATTCTAGTTTATGCTCCTGCTTTTGCTGCGAGTCATAGTAAATTTCTAGGAAAATTGGCAGATACATTAACAGAAAAAGGGCATAATGTAGTAAGTTGTCGTAAGTACTGTGATTTTTGTTCTATGAAAGTTTTAACTTCAGACGTATTTAATGCCAGTTGTAGATGTTGAAAAACGAGATGAGTGTATTGGAGTTAAGTTGACAAAGGATTTGATTATTGTGGAGGTGGGAAAGAAGGCTCCAGTTGATTATTTAGGGTCCAAAAATATTTCGACTTAAAAAAATGTTCTCTGTATTTTGTTTCAAGTTATTCAAAACCTAAAGCCAACTACGTCCAAGAAGAAAAAAATAAATTTTAAAGTTCTTGTTTTAAATTTTAGGCCGGAGCAGAAATGCTTGCTCAAAAGACATCTGACACTTCAAGTGACGAGATAATGGAAGTTTTTTGGAAAGCTGAAATGGACTCTTCAAATTCCAGAGATGTAACGTTTCTTTTTGTTTTTTCTCTATTCCAGATTGATTTTTCAGATGTTTAAATGGTTCAGTTCTGATATGAAAATAGCCTGTAGAAACTTTATCAGTCGTCGGGATATATTCAGTCAGATGAAGTCTCGAAACTTCGATTTGGCAATTCTAGAACCAGTTTCTGTTTGTGGTCTTGGGTTCGTAAAAGCTCTTGGAATCGAGAAAATCATTCTGGCATCCTCGTGTACATTCTTTGATACTGTTCTGCCATACATCGGTGAGCCATTAGACTTCAGTTATGTTCCAGCTGGGTTCAGTGTCACTGGGGATGTTATGAGTATTTCTGAAAGATATGAAAACTGGTTGGTTACAAAGGTATTTTCAAAATGAGAAATATAGATAATCAAAGGAAATTCAGGAGATAAATGCGGCTTTCGAAGATATGCATGATGGAGAAGCTAAAATTTATAAAGAGTTTCTCGGAGAAAACATTCCAGATTGGAGAGATCTTCTTCCAACTGCATCCATTTTCTTTGTTAACTCCAATCCATTTTTGGATTTCCCTCGTCCAGTTCTTCAAAAAACTATTCCTATCGGAGGGATATCAGTGAATATGAAATGGACAACGGAGCATCAGATATCATCAGGATGGGAACAAATTTTGAATAAGCGTACATCTAATGTACTAATATCCTTTGGATCAATGGTCAAATCGACACATATGCCTTTGAAATGGAGGTTAGAGTTTACTTATTTGTGAAATTTAAAGTCCAAATCTTCAAACTGAACAGAAACGGCCTACTTGAAACAATCAAGTCAATGTCAAATGTAACATTCATTTGGAAATATGAATCCGAAAACGTCTCATTTGCCGACGGAATCAACAATCTTCACTTCTCAAAATGGGTTCCCCAGATCACCCTTCTGAGTGATCCTCGTCTAACGGCATTCGTCAGTCATGGAGGTCTTGGAAGTACAATGGAATTGGCTTACAGTGGAAAACCAGCTGTTGTCATTCCCGTGTTCGCTGATCAAATTCGAAATGCTAACATGCTGGCAAGACATAAAGGAGCTATTTATCTTCATAAAAACTTCATGGAGAACATTGAAATTGTTCGGAAGGCGTTTGAAAATGTGCTGTTTGACCAGAGTTACAAGAAAAATGCCTTGAAATTGGCAGATATTCTGAATAATCAACCTTACAGTCCCAAGGAAAATGTAATAAAGTATACTGAATTCGTGGGGGAGTAAGTATTCGAGTTTCAGGATATCCAAAAATTCAAAGTTTTCAGACATGGTCCATTTCCAAGTATGGATCCGTATGGACGTCATCCCAACTATTTCCAAAAGACGTTTTTAGACATTTATGCTATTTTTGCCTTATTTTGTTTAACAATAATTATATTCACTTTGGTTGTTGCTAGAATTATTTATGCTACCATCAGAAACTGTTTCCAGTCGAAGCTAATAAAACGAAATTGAAGATGACACTACATATAGTTTTTCGTTAGACATTTTTGAGAAAACTGTCAAGTTTCCAAGACGTTGCGCGGAATGAAAAATCGCATGAGCAAGACGAAAGGAATGAACTCGGATTAACGGAGAAGTTGGATCTGTAGGTTGTTGCCATCAAGATCACATTTGCTAAAATAGAGGAAATTGAGGATATTTGACTCTCATTGGTACTGTATCCAACACAGACTAGGATTCCTTGATATCAAACGAACTTCGAACTTTCCTTGAATATACTGTGGGAAAATGTAACATGAACTTCAACAGTCTTCTGTCAACTGTCCACAGCAGAAATGAGCGGAAGAGATTTAAGGAAATTTACGGAAGACGGTTTATTTTCAAAATGAAAAATGCTACCAAAAAGTTGTCAACGGGCAAAATATAGATATCAACTAGAGTTATTTATTGGTATAAAAGTTACCTCATAATATTGATGGGGAGTTGAGATATGGCGTTTCTTCCGTGTTCCGTCTTCCGTCTGGCACATGAAAGACGGAAGACGGACGAAAGACTCTATTCAAATAATCCAACAAAACTTCGAAACAATTTTTATACCAATCGATAGCTCTCATTGAGATCTACAATTTGTCCGTTGACAGCTTTTTGGTAGCATTTTTCATTTCGAAGATAAACCGTCTTCCGTAAACTTCCGTAAATCTCTTCCGCTCATCTCTGGTCCACAGTCTTCAACGGGCGTAGCTGGGGATGAGCAACGTTTCAGCGGGGTGCAAACACACAAGGAACGTCACACTGTGGTTACTGTTACACTCTTTGTTTCCGCACATTCAGAGATATTTAGCTTCCGGCCGCGTGGGAAAAAGTGACTCATCAAACCGCAATCCCTACGTGAACGCTAATTTTTCAATGCCGAGTCTTACGGTTTTGTGCCTGCATTTCATCGGAAACAGCGGAAAAAAATTTTATTTAAAAAATCACCTTCCGGAAACCATTAATCCCTCAAAAGATGTACAACACTAGTCGAAAAGGTTTTCTTTCAAAAAAAGGTTCTCTTTATTTAATTGTCAAATCAAATGTTTCCAGTTTTTCGAGTTTTTCTTTTTTTTTACGAAACAAAGTTTTAAAAGTGATAATGAATGTAGAAGTCCTGTACCGTTTGATGAGTTAATTGTTCTCCAACAGATGTCTAGTAGCATGCATGCATTGTTATCTCACCACTAAATCTTCTAATCGTGCGCGAACGAATGGTGTAACTGTGATAAACAATCTCAGAGTATTGACACTTCGCTCAAACAAATGCACAGCGGCACCAGGTGAAGACGTCAATGGTAACGGCGGCTTTGCCGCTTTCCCTTTGATGACGATCGATTTATGCTAAAGATCGATATTTAAATAGTACATAAGTAGAGAGGTCCCTAGACAGTCCTCATTTTTCATTCGTTATTCCATTCTCTATTACTCCCATATTTTCTGATCCCCACAATATTGTCATAAACCTCAATTCTAATTTTCAGCTACTCATGTCTTTGAATATCTCCAATGTTCAAAGTTCCTCAAGAGGAGAAGTTTCAAATTCGTCCCCACAATCTCGCGAGAAGATATTGGACGATGCTCGCAGAGCGGTCGATGAGAGCTGCCAAATGTTTGAAAAAGCCCACGAAGGAGTTTATGGGCTTCACTATGAACTTTTGGCTGCATATGAACAGGTGGAGGCTTTCGAGAGAAAGATTGACGAAGGAGGAAACAATTCGACACTGCAAAAACTCCAGAAACAACTTCGTGCAGCTGAGATCGAGGTGGAAAAAGTTCAGCTCCGTCTTGATGTGGCCGTTATAGAGAAGAGAGAATTGTATAAGCAAATGTAAGCGGAGGAACTAAAATATGAATGGATCAAGAGCGTACACGGAGCGAAGAACAACAAGGTTGGAACCAATTAGATTTTTAATGAGAATCACAAATTGATCATTTTCTGGTTTTTTTTGTTTTACTCTGAACAATAAATGGATTACCCTAAAATTGTGTTCTGTATTAAAAAAACTTGAATCGGTAAAAGGAACCTCAACACCTCGTAAATCCAGATTTTGTTGAAAATATAGGTTGAGAATAGCCTATCTCAAAAACTCCAAAAATTTAAGAAACTGCTCGCCCTTTTTAGTCAGTTTCAGTACCAAAAATCACAATTTCAATGAAAAAATAGCGACTTTCCAAAACGATGTGCCCAACTTCTAATACGTTTTTGAACATGAAATTGGTGGTTCGACTTTTGGACAAATATTGGCCAGGTTCCGGTTGCCCAATAACTGCTGTATAGCAAACCATAATCAGATTTCTGTAGGAAGTTGAGAGTGGAAGCACTACTATGTCGAAAGTTTGTAATGAGTATCTAATCCGAAATCTGGCCAAAACTGGACAAATTCTTCCGGCGACGCCTTCCGAACATGCTGATCACAATTTAGGTAGTCAAAGAGAATCACGTTCCCTTATGAGTTTTCGATTCACTGCAAGCCTTGAATCAATCTGATCGGAATAATTATTTTATCTCCTTTCACCTTTCTAATCTCCTGATATGTATTGTATATTTACCGAGAACTTTGATGCCTGATCTCTATTCAAGATTATCATATATTCTCTAGTTTAACCTTGTCTTTCGTAAAAAATTGGTTTTTCAAAAATTTGAATCAGATCAACACTTTTTTGGATAATGAAATAAATTCATAACATATAGTTGTGTATTTCTCATTTGAAATATGAAACTATTCTGACCATTGAAACTGTTCAAAGACGCAGACGTCTTCTGTGTGTAGTCAAAGAACAATCTGTCAATTGGAATCAAGATCATTATTTGTGATCGTGACACAAAAAGTTGTGTTTTATTGCACAACTTTAGAACTTTTTCAATCTCGCTGAATGCAAAATTACAAGTACAGTAACTTGAGATACCGATTTCTTAAAAATATATAATTGATCTATGAGTGAATTAAAAAAACAATATGTATTGCTCTAGTAAAAAATAGGAGTTGTAGAAGAGCAGTAATCTTTAAAAGTTTCAGGATTTGTTTTCTCGTTTTTGACTGATTTTTGCTATTTTTGTAGGAAAATTAGCGATTTGATTGGGGAAAAATTGACTGAAAAAGCACTAAAATCGAGAGAATAAATCAGGAAATTATAAATATTTTTGGTTACTGTAGTTGTCATTGTGGGACCTTCGGCCAGGACCACCGACGCTTCTTTCCCACATCTCCAATTTTTTTTGTACCAGAATATAAAATACCGATTTCTTCAAAATATAAAACTAATCTATATAGAAGGAATCTAATATATGATTTCAACGAATAATCATCAGTCATTCTTCTAGATGATGTTTTTTTCTAGATCCAAGATCAAGTTTCTCCTGGTAAATACTGAAGTGCCTATCAATTTTCTTATTTTTCTTCTGTTTTCAGAAAGTCCTCAATTATCCAATCAACCGGAGAAAATTTGCCATAAAAACTGGAATTCCATTTCTCTTTACATTCCAAAAAAACATAAGTTCGTTCTCAAATTACTTTCTGTCACAAATGAACTACAAAGTATCTAATGGTTCCACCTCTCCATCTATATCAGTATCATCTCACATATCATATCTCTCAAATACGTAAACTACGAAAACTACCATGTGTCTGTTGCATAAGAGACAAGAAGGCGGAATCTCCTTTTTTGGTCAGTTCATTAAACAAAACTTATAAAAGGAAAATGATGAAAAGGGAGAGTTCGCCATCCACCGCAATGATTATCCAATCGTTATTTTTTCTGTCTTTAATTGGTCTTCTTAATGCATATAATATTCTTGTTTACTCTCCATCATTTGGAGGAAGTCATACTAATTTTATGGCCAGATTAGCAGATACATTAACAGACGTTGGCCATAATGTCGTAAGTTTTGAACTGTGATTTTTGTTCTCTAAAGAGTTTTTTTTGGTTTCAGACATTCCTGATTCCAGTGGCAGATGAAGCTAGAAAAGGTCAACTAGGAGTGAAGAAAACTAAAGATGTAGTGATAGTTGAGGTTGGTTAATTTTGATTTTCCGATTTTCTGAAAAAGTACCAAAATTTACATGTAACTGCAACTCCTAAACCTTTAAAAATTTTCAGCAAGACCAGATAATGAAACGACAAGTAAAGCCAATAGATGATGATATGGCACAGTATTGGACAACTGATATGGATTCATCGAATGCTGACACAGTAAGACATACATTCTCAATACCATCCCAAAATAATTTTCCAGATTTTCAATGTTTTCTTTGATGCAATGGTGCTCTCATGCGAGAACTTCATGCGTAACAAAGAAGCATTCGAGGATTTGAAAAGGAGAAATTTCGACGTTGGAATTTTTGAACCTGTATCTGTCTGTGGACTTGGATACATGAATGCACTAAGAATCGAGAAGATCATAATGGCATCGTCGTGTGCTTTATATGATGGAGCACTAGCTGCTGTTGGAGAACCACTTGATTTCAGTTATGTGCCTGGAATGATGAGTAAATCTGGAGAAAAAATGAGTTTGAGCGAGAAACTGGAGAATTATCGATTGTCAATGGCGTCGTACAGAATGCAGCATGGAATGTGGGATAAAGAAACAGAGATATACAGAAAACATTTGGGATACGGTATTCCACACTGGAGAGATTTGATGCCAACGTCTTCTGTATTCTTCACAAATTCAATTCCATATGTGGACTTCCCCAGAACAGTCACACAAAAAACGGTTCCGATTGGAGGAATTTCTGTGGATATTGAATCAATTCGATCTCAAAAGTTGTCGATCGAATGGAGTACTGTACTTGATGAGAGACCATTTAATATGCTAATTTCATTCGGATCAATGGTTAGATCTATGGATATGCCAACTGAGTGGAGGTTAGTTTCTGTTAATTGTGAAAGATTGTCTCTATTTGAGTGCCACAAATGCCGTAAACTTTGAGTCCCTAAATCTCCGTTCCTGTAAAAGGTATAAAAATTTTGTCAACTGACAAAAGACTTATGATATCATGACGAACATTTTATCAGTTCACAAAATTTTTACGCCAGTTTTGTGGCAGTCAATTAGGGTGTTTACTGTATACCAAACCATTCAATTTTTCAGACGCGGACTGTTGGAAGCAATAAAGTCGGAACCAAATGTCACATTTATTTGGAAATATGAAAATGATGATCTCGAATGGGCAAAAGGAATCAAAAACATCTATTTCTCGAAATGGGTTCCTCAAACAGCTCTTCTGAACGACGATCGATTGACTGCCTTTATGACTCATGGAGGCCTTGGAAGTACAAACGAATTGGCTCATCTTGGAAAGCCAGCACTCATGATTCCAGTGTTTGCAGATCAAGACAGAAATGCAAATATGTTGGCAAGACATGGCGGAGTCAAAGTTATTCATAAAAGTGAATTGGGAAACACGAAAGTTATCAAAAATGCGATTCGATCGATTTTACACGATGAAGAATTCAAAAAACATGCTGAGAAATTAGCTGATTTATTGGTAAATCAACCATTGAAACCAAAGGAACAAGTTGTGAAATACACGGAATTCGTCGCAAGATTTGGACCGTTTCCTGAAATGGATTCATTTGGAAGAAAATTAGGATTTATTGAAAGAAATTTGTTAGATATTTATTCTGTAATTGGATTATCTTATATTATAGCATTTTTGTTGATTTTCTTTGCTTGTCGTTTTGTTTTTGGACTGCTTCCGTTGAAATTTATTAAGAAAGATTAGCTTCGTCTGGAATTTGAAAGAGCTTGATTGTTTCAAATGTTTGACTTGAATCTCATAGTTTTGTATAGAAAAAGTGACGCAAATGAATCAGTTTATTAATCTTTAGAGGCAAGAGTACTCTGTACAATGAACAAAAAGAAGCATAAATACAAATTGGCAAATCATAATAAATCCCTAAAAATTAGAAATAGAATTTTTGGCGGTTTTGTCATGCTACATGATGTTTTTAAAACAGGAATGAATTGAAAATGAGAATCTTGAATTTCGTTGACTAGGGAGTTGGACCGTTTATGCACATGGCCGTAATTGGCTTCCCATGGCCGTCCCACTGTGCAACTTTCTTACTGTTGATGACGTCCCAAATTTTCACTTGATTGTCATCCCCACCGGTAAAGATGTATCTGAAAAGTTCAATGTAGAGATTATTTCTCACACAAAGAATTCAATATACCTTCCTTCCGATGAGAAAATAGCATCCCAATTCCATCCGCAACCAGTAGGCAACGTAGCCACCTGATCCATTGTCTCCGAATTATAAACATACACATCTTTTTCTGATCCAGAAGCCACAATCCATTTGCCATCTGGACTGTATCTACATGATATTCCATGTCCTGTTTGCATTCGATGCTGCCTATCCTCATCACGGAGACAACCATAAGTGCCAGTATCTTGCTCTATAGGTACAATTGGAGACTTGAACATATCAAATGAGTGAGCTTCCACTTGTCTGGTCATCAAGTCCCAACACAGAAGACGACCTTGATTTGTCACTCCTGATAGTTTTTTGCCTGATGGATGAACAGCCAACCTGTGAACATATTCTTGCATTCTCAGGTCATCAGGCATTGGAAGCCTCATGAACATATGATTGACAACATCCCAGATCCAAACATGTCCAGAATTTGTGGATATGAATAAATCTGTTTGGTTGGTGTTTGGCACGATGCTTGTTACTCCGTTTCCTGAGAAAGAGAGCAGCCGATTTGCAACCAACTGATTGTTCCTCATCTCCCAAATGCGACAAACTCCGTCTTCTCCTCCAGTGTACATCCATCTTCCTGCTGCCTGAAATTTATATTAATCTTGTTTTAACGAGTCACAGTTTTGTTGTCACCTCAAATCCAACAACAGTGACATTTCTCGGCAGTTCGATGGTTGCTTTCGGATCTTTTCCAGATGACACATCGTAAATTCGGACTCTTTGCCAAGCACCAACCGCTAAATCTCTTCCAGTTGACGTCAGACTTAACGCATTAACCTGAAATACCATTTTAATAATCCAGGTTTGATAAAACTACACGCTATACCTGTCCTTCGTTGTGAGGGATTGTTCCGATACACTTTCCGGACGCTAGTTGCCACAAACGAATCGATAAGTCATAGGAAGCAGAAACAAGAAGTGCGTTCGGAGAGTTGTCGAACGGTGGCGGTGTGTCAGTTGTGCTCTGTAACTTCTGAAAATTGAGCTCCTCTTTTTTTCATTCTGTTAGTACCATTCTGTTCCGCCACGCCATGGTTGTACTATCCGCAAGTTTGTTGCTGAATTCGACTCTTTTAAAATCCTGTCTAACACAAATTCTGTTCACTAATATATTGTTAATAGATTACCACTAATGTGAATGATAACTCGATCCAAAGACTAATGCAAACTTTTATCCGGTATCATCAACCGATGTCAATTAACATTATTAATTCAAAAGAAACAAAAGGAACGTGCATAATGGGATGTATTCGATTTCAGGATGGCTCTCTTGTGGACTGTACAAACGAGAGAACGACTGATAGAGAATAGCTGAATAAAAAAACATCATTGCTGTTCGATCCGTAAGAGTTGTGGGTGTGTAACGAAGCGAAATGGATGAACAACCTTATGTGAGAAATAGAACAAAAAGAAAACACGCAATGGCTGGATGAGTGGTGAAGTGGACGAATAGAACAAAAATGGGTTACTACCTGAGGAATCGAAATATTATCGAAAAGGAAAAGTAAAACAGGGATTTGAATGGAATAGGGTGGCAACAGCTGCATTGAACTTTGGGAGAGCACGAAATCGGATAGACAGAAGTTAACGGGCGGCAATTGGTACGTGGAACAAAGGCTGGAGACGACTAATAACGAATTATGAACAGGATATATGAATAAATACACAAATAAAGCAAATAAAGAAAAGAAAATTATTACAAAGAGAACTGCTAGAGATTATGAAGAGGCGACTAAGCCGATGATCCTGGACCACCAACGTGTCTACGTGACGAGACTCGCGAGACAGAAACATTTGCAGGTCGAGAAGCTTCAATGAATCGCCGAAGTTGGGAAACCCATTGATTACAAACTTCTTTATGGGTTCCCATGAGGACTAATTCTCTGGAGAGACCGGTGTCTGGAAAGTTGATTATTGATACCAGCATTATTAGAAATTAGTATTCTTACATCGACACATCGTGATTGTTCCTTGAGCAATGTGCTCTTTGTGTGTCTTATAGTGACAGTTTTTGCATTCAAACGCTGGTGTAGGTCGGATGAAATCCGAAAGTTTCTTGCCACAGTCGTCACAGTAAGTACGTGTGTGATATGACAGTTCCTGGAAATCATGCCTCTTCCAACCCTCTTCGCGTGGTTCACAGATCGAGAGATCCGAGTTTGATGCATGCCGAGATGAGTTTGAAGAAGTATCATCGTACATTATCTGAAGAATAACCTTATTCCGGAAACCTTTACCGAATCACTCACATGGAAAATCTTAGGCAATTGATTGTCGTCAACATTTCTTAAATCAGCACTAGTCACATGACGAACATGAGCCATGGCGCCTGCTTCAATTGTGAGGACGACTGAGTTCAAATGCTTCTCGTCGGTGTAAATGGTGAAGGCGTATTCATTCAGAATAACGAAGTAGTTGGTCCACTGAAAAAAAAGAGTTAATTGATGATCTGATTTTTTTTTGAAAACAACCTTAGGTTTCCGTGACTTCTTTGTCATATCTCGCAGGGATAACCATCCATCGATTTGAATATTTTGATGACTAATTGAGGTTGGAATTCCTTCACGAGAATCCAAAGAGCGTTTGTCTTCGTATCGATTCACAGAATGTCGCTGTGGATATTCATCTTTGTATTCTTTGAGTTCATCTCGCAATGTCTCAATAAGTTGAGACATTTCTTGCATTTGGTAGCTGAAATGTTCACCTTGCTGAAAAAAAGTTTTGTGTGGTTAAAAGGGCGATAAATAACCTTTTCCGAATCCATATACATTTCTGTCATTTTCTGCTGCAAATGCTGATTTTCTTGTTGAAGACTCATCTGAAAAAAAAACAAGTATTCTGCCTGTTCTGCATTTTTTGAAACCCACGATCTCGCGTTCTTTCTTGATGAGTGCCGACTTCGTAATTCCCTTATCGCCTTTCTTCAAAGGTTGTCGTTTGGCCATTTCCTCTTCCAGCTTATTTATGACTGCTTTCTTGTGAGCTTTCTCGAGTTCCAGTTTTTTGTTCAAATCAGCAATCGTCTTTTTATCGTTCGACTCTTGCTCAGTTGATTCGATTCTTGAATGCTCTTTAAGCTCTTCCAACTGATTTTCAATGTGTTTCAGATTTTGTTCTTTGTTTGCCATCTCCCATTTATGACGCTGCATAAGCTCTTGAACTTCCATCTTCAACATTCCCCTTTCTTTATCGGCGACAATCAGATTTTCTTCAAGAGTTTGTGACTTCATCTTCTCGTTCTCCAATTCGTTTCGGATGCCGTCGATCTTCCCTCTTAGCCCATCTTCTTTGTACTTTGCCTCTTCTTGACTCTCCAACAGCTCCTCTTGACACAAGTTCAGAACGCGTTCATCTGTATTTCGGCTGTCCATAAGCTGCTCAACACGAATTTCAAGTCTTCGCTTTTCGGCAATGACATCCTGGAGATCTCTCTCCAAGTCCTTCCGTGCTTCTTTCATGTTAGTATAGTCATTTTGCAGCAACTCATAATTAGCTTCAATTCCAGCCAACTTCCTAGCCACTCTGCTCTGATCAAACTCGGCAGCCGTACGCTTTTGTTCTTCTCTTTTCCTGTCATCTGTAGCTTGCTCCAACTGCTTTTCATAGTACTGCATCTTACGCTCCCATTCAGCATCTGTTGCTTTTGCAACACTTTGTTGGTATGCCCCATTTTCCTTCCGTTCGTCCAGAGCTTTCTTCAGTTGCAACGACTTTTCCGCTTCCCGCGTCTGAAGCATTTCGTGATCTCTCTTGATTTCAGCAAATGCTTCTTCTGCGTTCTTTTTCTGTTGAAGAACTCGCTGAGTCTCATTTTTCTCTTGAGCCAGTTCACCCGATTTCTTTCGGAGGTCTTCTTTCAGCTGCTCGCATTTGTCTCGGAACTTGCTTAATTCGTTCTCCATCTCTCCATTGTACTCTTTCGACATTCTTAACTCGACAGACAGTTCGTTCACCTTAGTATCCGAATCTGCACCGAGTCTCAACCTCTCCTTGTTATCCTTAAGCTCTCTTTCGAGATCATTGATTTTGGATGACAGCCTAAAAAACAATTTTCCCGTAACGAATGGATATAAAACAAACTTACGAATTTTTCTCAGTTTCGATAAGTTTTGCTCTGATTTCAGTCCTGGAAATACTGTCTTTCAACGACTCCAGCTCGCGCTTCTTTGAATCAAGCTCTATGACCACTTCTTCATATTGCTCTTCGGGGATACCTGTTGAATGTCCATTTGTCAATGGTTGCTGAACTACAACCGGCTTATTTTCAACTCCATTTTGAACTCCGTTCGAAGAAGCCCCATTTAGAAGTTTTTTAACTGGACTGTACTCGTTGGAATATGTAAAGCCAATGAATGGTAGTTGGTTTCCGTTAAAAGTTTTCGGCAGTTGGAAATCGCTAGCGTTATCACGGTCTCTCGTTTCAATTTCTTCGAAATGCGTAGTATCGTCATCAGATTTCAATGAAGGAACGATTGGAGGAGTAGCTGAAATGAAATCATTATTAACATATTTCCATTAATAATGTACCATCTTTGAGAGTTTCGAAAGTCCATTCATCATTTTTGAAGAACTTATGGTTCCGAATCTCGTCGACGTTGTTCTTTCCAAGACGTTCCGGGGCAGCCGATAGGAATTTTTTGATGATATCTTTAGCTTGAGTTGAAATCAATGGTTCATCAGGAAACCTTAGACTCGTCTGGTGATTCATAATATTTGCATACGTAGAAACAAGAGCCTCTGCATAGAATGGTGTTTCTCCAACGAGCATTTCGTAAATGAACACTCCAACTGACCACCAATCGACTTCTTTACCGAATTCGGAATCTTTTCCTTGGTTGCGTAATACTTCGGGAGATATGTAGTCAGGAGTTCCAACAGCTGTAGAGCATCGAACTACTCCGTTGGAATTCATTTTGACACACGTTCCGAAATCAGCCAGTTTAATGTGTCCGCTTCTTGAGATGAGCATATTGTCCGGTTTCACATCTCTATGAATATATCCCATGTTGTGAAGAGCTGCTAGTGCTTCTACGATTTCAGCAGTGTAAAATCTAGTCCATTTTTCGGAGACTTCGTAGGATGTCATCAGATTGACAAGATCTCCTCCCGGCATGTACTCCATAACCATATACAAATGACGTGGATCCTGGAATGCATACTGAAGGCGGACAATCCATTCACTATTCGCATGCGCCATAATATCACGTTCTTCCCAGAAGAATGCAGAATCAGCTCTTTTTATCTGGAATCATAACATTAGGGAGAGAAAAACTGGAAATATTATAGACAATACACTGTCATACAATAACAAATCTCTAAAAAGTTAGCAACACAAACCATGTCATCTTTATTGAGCATTTTCATCGCGTAGACTGTATTCGTCCGAGTGTGTCGAACGAGGTGGACTTCACCAAAAGCACCTCTTCCGATGACTTTGAGCTGTCTGAAGTCGGTTGCTTTCATTCGAAGAGCTGCTACACTTTCGACGATTCGTTCATCTGAAAGTTCACATCACGACCACTGCTTACAACACACATGCATGGAAAAAATTCAAAAAGAGTCTCAAAATCACGAAGAAAAACCTAGAAACTGAAAACGAAAAACAGATTTAAAACTCACATCTGCTGATAAAATTGTCGACACTTTTCATACGCATCAACACTGGGATTTTGCAGTCGTTCACGAGTGCAGTTATAGTATCCTGGAAAATTTGCATGTTAAAGTTGAATTATTAAATCTGAGTATCGGTCTTCGTTTCAAAAATAGATTATCGGACATTTTGAACCGATTATTTTTAGAATTCAGAAAAATCAGATACTCATTTGCACTCATATTTTCTATAACGCGAGCAAAGAATACTAACCAGAAGACTTTCAATATTGATTGGAGACTTCGGGTCCACCAGTTGATGGAGAAGCTCATCTTGCTCCATTCTAACAGCTCTGTTTCGTCTGCAAGATCGTATTTGACGAAAAGGAGCTGAATGAATACCTGAAAAAAGAAACAATAAAATTTAAGAAAATCGACCGATTTGACCATAGAAGAGAAAACATTTTCTGACAAAACGAATGAAAACAAGAGCAGTGAAAAGACAAAAAAATCTGACAAGCTTCCTGAGGCATTCGTGAGAACGAGAATGAAAGAAAATAGGAAGAAAACATTCCAGATTCTGTCATTCGATTGGAATTTCAATTTCGAGGGTGTGTTTTCTCTTGACCCACTCTTTCCGGTGATGATAGAAGCTAGATGAAAATTTCACGTTCCCAGAGCTAATGGTACTTGGCATCACATGATTAAAGAAGGAGAAAAAATAGACCATAACACATTTCATCGCCTATTTTTTTTCTTATCGGCTATTTTCTGTTATTGACAAGAAGGTTTTGAAACAAAAAAGGAAGCGAGCAGACCATAAAAGCTCGCTGGCCGGCCATGGAAGAGAATATTCAAGTTAGGCCACGTGACCTTTCTCCAGGATAGGAATAGGTGAATCATGGAGGGAGAAGTGGCAAAATCAACAGAAAAAAAGTCAATAAAATGTTCTGAATAAGACAGGAAACTATTTCGAGTGTTAAAATCGAAAATCGAAGAAACGGGAGAGAAGAAATCAGAGATTCCACAATGTTTTGCATGTTTGTTTTCATTCGCCTAGCCGCAAAACCACCCGCTCGGAATGAGAAACGACCATAAAAGCTAAAGACGTATGGAAAAATGTACTGTTGGAAGAATAATACAACGTAACTGCCGGTTAGAACCATGCAAAAAAAGGCGATCGTTAACCGAAATAGTCAGAAGAAGCAAATATTGAGTAATGAAAAATAATAGAGGGTGCAATTGTTGGCTGCTGACACCGCTTCACTCATAAGAGCGAACAGACCGGACACCGATCGACATGTTGCGCAGCAGCGCCTGTGACCGATAGCGCCAAATTCAAATATACTCACACACCTATTTACAATTTTTGGTAGACCCAGAAAAGCATACTTGTAACGGGCCGGGCCCCTCATTTCACTAGTTTCGAAATTTTCAAAAAACACATAAGGGACCCTTATTTGGTTTTTTTCGACCAAAAAATTTTTTTCGAGTTTTTCGATCTTTTTTGATCAGACAGACAAACAATCCGAAATACGAAAAAAAAATGGAAAAATTATATTGAGAGCTCAAAATTTGGCTCAAAAATACAGAATTTTTGACACCGGGCCTTCCGGGCCTTGAAAATTTCCTCAGGCCCGGCCCGGCCCGGAATTTTACAAGTATGCAGAAAAGAAAAAGAGACGCGGGAAGGTGAGCAGTAAGTGCCAGATGATGCTGGGGAACAAGAAAATCGAAGAAATAGAACCAGAGTAAAAAGGGTGTATTGTGTGCTTGATGTCGATGACTAATGCTGAAACTGTCAACTGCTGCTACAGATTTTCTCCCTCTCACTCTCCACATTCAGGCTATTCATTTCTTATTATTGAAAACAGTTGTTTAGCCAAAGATATTCTTGGAGTCGTTGAAATTCAGAATTAACTGTTATTGTCAAAAAAGGTTACATTTTTTAAACAAATTAAACTCTCAAAATAAACATAAATAACGGAAACTGAAACTTCGATGCAAAAGCATCCGGAACAAAAGGTAAACGGTTGGGGGAAATCTTGGAGATGCGGGGCGATTACGCAAATCGCAAGGGACAACAACATCGACGTCGCAGTCAGGAATGCGAACAACCGTAGTTGTCTCGGAGTATTCAGAAAGATGAAAGTGTTCTGGACGAAACGAAACGAACGAACGTACATCCAGAAAGAGAGGAAGGACAGCGCAAGAAGATATGAAACCTAGCGAAATAGTTCCTAATGTGGCGGAGATGTTCTATGAAATAGTATGTTGATGAGTTGAGACGACGATGGTGAACATGAATCTGCGCGAGGCGAGGGGAGGTCGTTTAGCATTTCGAATGTCCTTTCTCATCTTTCGAAATGTGGCTGCATTAAGAAGGGAATGAACATGAGACTGGATGAACTATTGGTGCAACGGGAAAGGGATGGTAAGTTCAGAGCTCCGAACAGTGACGTGAGAGAAAGGAGTAAAAAACGCAGATTGGTCGGCCGGTCATTTGAGAGGAAGCGGTCAATCGTTGGGTCAGTGAGGAAGAGCGCAAGGTGAGGCGTCAAGTGGAGAGCGACAAGGTGTTCGCACACACGATCGGCTTGTCGCATCCTCGGACGATCTGCGCACACCGTCTACTGTTGTGAGTGGACGAGTAACAAACAACAACAGCAGTCTCATACAATGATGGCTTGTTCGGTTATATTTACTTTTCGGCTTGTAGGAATTTGTAGAACAGAACTTTGTTCTGAGAATTAGAACAACGTTTCGATTAAAACTGTGCATGATCAAGTTTGGCCACCGGAGTCATTTTGAAGAAATTAATATGATAAAACAATTATATATTCATCTAAGGAGGTGTAGAAAAATTGTAAATTCTCATGGGGTATTCACCAAAATGTAAAACATTCCGCGAAAACTCGGAGAATGAACCTATCTAGCTGAAACTTCGGAGAAAATAGGAGAAAATTATGAAGAACATATTCACAAAAATTGTTTTCCTCACTGAGAATTCGAATATTGTTTTAAGATTAGAAGATGGCACTACAAGCAAAATGAAGCATAAATGATTATGAAAAATAAGTTTTCGAATCAAAATAGAAGAAAAATGATCAGAAGGAACAATAGCATACTTGTAAAATTCCGGGCCGGCGCGCCAAAGCCTGAGCCTGAGGAAAATTTCAAGGCCCGGTAGCAAAAATTTTGTCATTTTGAACCCAATTTTGAGCTCTCAATACAATTTTCTATATTTTTTTGTACTTTTTGGATTGTTTGTCTGTTTGATCAAAAAATATTTTTAAAAAACTCGAAAAAATTTTTTGATCGAAAAAAATCACATAAGGGTCCCCCTAATGTGTTTTTTGAAATGTTCAAAACTTGTGGAATGACAGGCCCGCCGAGCCGGGCCTTCGAAATTTGGGAAAAATCCCGGCCCGGCCCGTTACAAGTATGAACAATAGGTTTTGCAGAAAAAGTGCAATTCACGAAGATCGAAAGCGGCCCTTCAAAAATTTGCAAAAATTTTTCCATTGCGGTGGAGCGCGATATCGACTTGTGACGTCACGTCTGGCGCCAAGTGTGAAAACATTTGTATCCCTCGTTAGTTTTGACACCTACTCGACTCGCATCAATTCACTAATCGTATTTTTAACTCCGTAGGTGTATCATGACAATCTAAATTAAAAACCAATATTTCAGACTTCAACGGAAATTTCAAATTTCACCAAGAACTGTCACCATTCTGTTCCAAGAGAGGTTTGACTCATTGTATTCTGGTGAGTTTTTCTTTATCAATTCTAATAATTTACCAATTAAAAAAAACCCAAATATGTTTCTTAGACCTGTGTGTGTGGGTTTTTTTTGTTTCTACCCGGAGTGTCTACAGTAACACTGTAATTAGAAGACATCACTTTCTCGAAACAACTTAATTGCACCAGTTCCGTGAAATAACAACAAAGAACAAAGTTTGAAATCGGAGGTCGAGAATGCACCCTGTCCACTAGATGGTTTTCTCATCTCGAGGTACTTCTTCTTCATTTTTTCTTTCACTAATAACATCAAAAAATCAAAAGAATACGAGAGAAGAAGACATCTTTAGTAGTAGTAGTAGAAGTAAACTGAAGTGTGTAACTTTCGAAATTCTAGTTTCATAGATTCTTGAAGAATATCTGGGACATACTTTCCTTTTTTCGGAGCCTAGATTTCTGATTCACCATAAGAACACCCACTAAAAATTGATCTCAAGTGGCGTCCTGTAGAAATCTGTGGCTTTATTGACACCTATCTTCCTTCGTTTCTTCCCGTGAGAATCTTTCCTATTCTCTCACCGTTTCCTTATGTTTGATTCTTCTGATTCCGAAGAGTTCCGCATGTTCTCAGTCGCCAAACAGTTTATGTTCTCCGTCTGCTGCTTAGCTCCCCTTTTTCCGTTTAGATCAATCCAGTCATTGCCTCTGCCTGTTTTCTCCTTCTGGTCCTATTTTAGCAGAAAGTTGAATATTCCAATGTTCTTATTATTATCGTCACAAATTTCTCACGAGCCATCGGTCAGTTTATGACCTCCTATCATCTCTTTTCTTTTCAATTCTTATTCCGTCGCCGGGGCAAACATTCTTTTTCCTGCCCTAACATTATTATTGTTGCCGTCTTTTCACCCTCTCTATGACACTTCGCGCGAAACATGTGCCTGATCAATTCACTTGTTTAAATGTTCATTCTAACCTCGAAATAAGTATCTAAAGATCAGAAAAGTTCTGTGGAAGAGAAATGCCGGTGGCTTTGACCGAGGCGACAACTACGGTACCCTAAAAGTATTTTTGTGTTCCGGATTTATTTTCTCGATTATTCATTTTCGTCGACTTTCTGTTTTTTTTTCCTCAGACAAATTGGAAAAAAAGTTTGATTAAAAATTGACTGAAAACAGAAGTAAATCAAGATAATGAATCCCAAAAATAAGCATATTTTCAGGTTACGGTAGTTATGGGATCTTCAGTCACGGCTACCGGCCTTTCTCTTCCATAGCTCCAAATTTTTCGTACCAGAATAATAGATTTGGCAAGATATCTTAACTAGGTTTGCAATGGATGTTGCCTAATGTAAATTCGTTTCGTTTCGCTTCACTTCCTTCTTTATCTTATCTAATTTTATTGTCCGTTTTCACCGTTTTCTCCGAATTTCCTCTTCCAAATTTTCTAGAATAATTTTCGGTTCCATCCAGGTATCGGCGCTTGCCGGTTATAATAATTCTCTCCCCTCTAGATCCGACAATAACCTCATTTACACTAACCCCCTCCCCTGTTTCCAAAATTTCAATTTCAACATCATCACCCGGAACGGCAGAGAAAAGAAAAGCGGGTGGTAGAGAAGAGATTTCCGTATTGCAGAATTTTCATCTTTTATCTTCCTCATATTCATCTGACACGGCTTCTTCTGGATTCATCCTTTTTCCGTCAACGCAAGTCACTTCCAATTTTCAAACTAAGAAACACACGTACTCAATAATAGATAGATGACCTTGAAAAATACATTTGTATGCGATTATTGTCCATCCTACATGTCAGCCGGGTGACTTTCAATAATGAAGTTGCAATATTTGAGCAGCAGGTGCCTTTGTTACCGAAAGCGCACATATCGCTTTCCGGCTCGTACTGCTTTCGTATTCCTTGTTCTTTTTCTATGTTCCACACGCTGTGCTCTTCTTTGTATTCTGTCCAATCCAACTATCAATTTTACTGCTCCCCAATGTTGCTCATTTTCTCTTCTCTTTTTTGTCTAGATCTCTTTCTTTTCGAATCCTTTTTGGTATCGTTGAGAAAAATAACATTTGGAGAATTCGCATTCTATTCTTTTTCTTATTCTGAGTATTTTTTTCTTGGTTCTCCTCTTCTTGTGAATAATGTTTTGATAGAAACTGACACGTCATTTAGCTTGAGGAGAAAATTGAACCAAGATGAAAAGGATAGAGTGGGACCGGATGATTCAGAAAAAAAAAGAAGAAGAAAAAAACAAAAAGGCAGAATGCGCTTCCCTTCCATTTTTTTTGCTCTTTCGTCATCGTCGAATCGATGAGCCAAAGAGTTTAAAAACTGAAAATATATGTTTCCGTGAAATTGAGAATACCGTAAAACCTGTAATAAAAGGACCCCCACATTGTCAAGTTTGAGATACATTTTCTCAGCTCCTATGCAAGATGTCAAAAATGGGCCAACTGAAAAAATGTTTGTATTAAAATGATAAACAATTTATTAAAAGCTTCTTTTGTGAAATTGACAATGCATTAGAACTGTATGCTCTTACTCGAAAGGCTCACAGGTGTTCCTGTTTTTGTCTCAGACTGTCTACCACTTACATGGTAAATTCTTCATCCCTACACACTTACATATTCAAGCCCATTACCAGGAAACTCTTCAGTTATAAAAGTAAAAGTGTTCCTTTCATTCAGCCACACCCAGTGGTTATCGTTCTAATTTGAGTGAGTGTCAAGGTTAATTAATGGATGCTTCACCCCGATGTTTCTTCTCAAATTTAGATTTTTCGAGCTGTTTCGAAGCGATAACTGAAACCTAGCTGTTAATTGTTTAATTATCCCCATTCGTTTTCCATTTCATCACAAAACAACGCTTTCGTTTTGTAGTCGTTATTCAATTTCCTCTATTATTACACTACCTCATCCTAACGCCGCCCCATCATTCTTTCTGACGCGCTGTTTCTATTCTCAAACAGAAGTCCTAATCTGACACACTTGTTTAGTTTATTGCCTCATATATTTCGATATAATGTCAATCATTCCATTTTCAGATCATTTGATGATCGCCCAGTTACAAAAGTCGCTTCAACAGAGTTCAACTTATGAGAAGAAAAATGTAGAAGTCGCGTTGGCCGAGAGAAGTCTCAAAGAACGATTGGCATCTTTGAATAATGTAAGTTTCAAAAATAATAAGCAAAAAATAGACAGATGGTATAGAGCGCGGACCAATGGAAAAGCCGTCCAGTTCGCCATACTCCACCCCCTCTTCAAAGAAGAACAAGTGCCAATGTTCTTCATGATCTTCCAATTTTCCAACGAGCACAGAGAAACGTTCGCCAATCTCTTCCAGTTTTAGAAAAACGTAAGTTTTTTATTAGGTCATTTCGAATCCGTCATAATTTTCAGCTTGTGACATTACGAGTGGATTGAAAAAGTTTTTTGGAAACAATCCGACAATATCGACGAACTCACAATCAGATGCAAACGAAATAGACTTGGATGTGATTTCATCCAAAGCAACACCAGTGTAAGTGATATCTGAGATACACCGAATATTCGACCCTGTAATTTCAGTTTGAAATCTGTGACTCGACCACGTGCTCCATGCAGGAGTAAAACAACGAAATCGGAGAATCTAGATGATAGAACAAGACTGGATGCTGTCAAAATCGACGAAGAAAAATTCATCGAGGTTGAAGAGGAACCGGAGAAATTGGAAACACAAGAACAAGCAATTGCCGCGATTCAAGGAGCCAAACAGCTTTTAAAGAGCCCAACAAAAGTGTCCCCGTATCCAGAAGTTATGCTGATTCAGGTACGGGGATCGAAACACGTGGATGTTCGATTAGTGGCTCCTTCAATTTCTTCAATTCATGAACACGCTTGTTTCGTTGTTGTTCATCAGAATCACTTGATCAAGTATGAAGGCACTATGAGCAATATTCTGGAAAAAACGAAAGCATCCCAACTTTGTATCGAAATTCTGGGAAAGAACGACTTGCATTGCACAGCGAAATCTATAACTACTGTAACTGAAAATGGCAAAAACTCACTTTCAAACTTATTGTTCTGTTCGGAAAACTCTGCTAGCAAAGTCAGCAACCACTATCAAACTACGCTGGAGCCATTTGAAACCACGATTTCAAAGCTCAACCTCGTTTTGCGAATCGCAGATGATTGTAGTGCTCAGACATGCGCCAGAAGAGAAAAACTGTCGCACAGTATAATGCAACCAAACGAAGTTCTCATATTCGATTTCGGAAGCGAAATTTATATATGGACTGGAAAATATTCAAAGAAAGTCAGCACAGCTTACGCTGTTGAATATGCGAAACAACTGATGAAGAAACCAGTGAAAAATGGGAAAACTCTCTTAGGAGATTCTGAATTCTCTGATGACGATGGACGACCCGAATGGACACTTTTCCGCAAGATTCATCAAGGAGTTTTGGTAGGTTTCATCTGATTCTCATTCCGTAATATTCTTAGTTTTCAGGACACTCTTTTCAAAGCAAAGTTCTCCGATTGGCCAGAAACTCATGAAGTGATCACAACTTGTAAACCGAAACCACTATTTTCGAAGAAAACTCCAGGAATCAAAACATATGAAGATGTGCTGGCTACAAATCAGGACGAAGAAGTTGATAACCTTGTACGACGAATGTTGGAAGAGCCTGAATTAGATCCTGTTCTAATAATTGAAGACCAAGAAATAGATAGAAAACTTCACGATATCATCAGTGAAGACCGATGTCTTTGGATTTTGAGAGGAGAAGAACTACAGAAAATTGAATACACTAACCATTTCGATTCGAGAAAGTGCTACGTATTGCAATGGCAGTACAGAATTCAAAAGTCGGGAGTTCGTCGAATCAAAACAGGAAAAGAGGAAGAACGAGAAACTGGAAGATCAAGAGTCGCCTTCTTCTATTGGCTTGGTGAACACACAACTCCTAAACAACATGGTCTCTGTGCGTTACGAATCAAAGAAATCGACAGAGAAAACTCTCCCAGAATCAGAGTAACCGATGGAAACGAACCTGCCCTATTCCTCACACTGTTTGAAGGAAAGTTCATGGTTAGTAACGATGTAGCGGACAAGGACCAACTTCGACGTTACGTGGTGGTTGGTGCGAATTCTCAAGAGTCAAGTCTTCGGCAAATCGATGACATGGATTCAAAACTTCGATCTCATGCTGCTTACATCGAGAAAACATCGGATGGTCCACATATAGTTTGTGGAGCGAATTGTACTCCAGAACAGGTTCATTTCGTTTTGGCACACGCGGACCACCTCCGACAAACAGCTGGAATTCGAGGGAATTCAGAAGTTGAAGTAGAAGGCGACAAGAAAACGAGAAACTGGGTGAGCTCTGTCGGAAGGAAACGATCGATGCGTGTTTGGAGGATATTCGAAAACGAGTCAGAACAAGTGAATCATATGAGTGGTCACAAGGATTGTGCGTTCACATTTCCTCAACAGGTATATCGAATTGAAAATTCTGAAGAGAATGCCAATCATTTCAGATTCTCACCGAAACAATATTAATCGATGTTGGAGAAGCTCTCTGGTTATGGTCAGAAGATGTCGTGACAACATTCGCATTAAAGGTTGCCGAGAAATATTGGAAGAATAGAAACGGAACAGCCCGAGTTGTATACAAAGGAGCAGAGCCAGAATCATTCTCAGCTCTGTTTATGAAATGGGAAAACTTCGAAGTTGAGAATCCGATGGATTCGAAAGATTTATCAGAACTATTGAAAGAAAGATGCCGAACATTTTCATTGAAAGAGCTCAAAGAACGAACACAACTTCCAGCTGGTATGGATATGCGTCGACTGGAAAGCTATTTAACCGACGACGATTTTATAAAAGCGTTTGGAATCGTTAGAACAGAGTTTTACGCCCAGAAGGCTTGGAAACAGAATGAAGCACGGAAAAGAGTTGGTCTATTCTAAATCCTTTCTTGTACTTACTATCGATAAAACGGGGGTACGACGAATTCGAACGCTTCCAAAATCGAACAGACCTAAAATCGAACATGTGTCAAAACAGAACAAGAGCAGAATCGAACTGCGCGAAATTCGAACTGTGTCGGAGTCGAACTGTCCCTAATTGGAACGCTGTTAGCCATGGGGCGCGCTTGCATTATTTTTGTTTTCTCATTTTTTCCCCGCAAATTTTTATTTTTTCCTTTAAAAAAATATTTTTGTTGTTTTTGTTTCCAATAAAACTGATTCGTATATATTTTTTAAGTTTTCTCAAGAAAAAAGTCACTAATTTAAGGAAAAATGCAAGCGCGCCCCATGGCTAACAGCGTTCCAATTAGGGACAGTTCGACTCCGACACAGTTCGAATTTCGCGCAGTTCGATTCTGCTCTTGTTCTGTTTTGACACATGTTTGATTTTGGAAGCGTTCGAATTNGTNGNACCCCCGAATAAACTTGTTTTCCTCATATGTACCCTTGCCATTGTATAGATTGCCTGAAAAATAAATGCGTGTTTTTTATGACTACTGATTCTGATAGTCGATTCTGATCCTCCCGTTGGAGACCTGAACACTTGAGAACACTTTTCCTTAAACTTAGACAAACCGTTGCAGATTCAATCGCTTTTATTCGAGTAGCGTGCACAAAATATGATACATTATACAGTTAGTGAGCAATTAGAGTTAGTGATTTCTGTGATAGTGAGCATGCATGTTTTGTGTTCGAGTAGTTGCTTCCTTAGTACTGGTTCGGTTGGTGGCACTCCGCAATTTGGTCAGCAGTTGTGCATCGTCCTTGCTCTGGAGAGAAGAAGAGTCCCGACTCGCAGACGAAGACAGATTCATGTCCATTGACACAGTTTCTATAGTTTTGTGAGCATGGCTCGATAGCAGATGCTCCTTCGACGCAGGATGGTGAATCTGAAAAAATAAATCAATTATTGCCATCGGAAGATATTAAATTACCTGTGGAAGCTTCGTAGCTTTGCTCTGTGGTGGATGGAACATCAGCGCGGTGGTGGTCTCCTCAACATATGGAGTAGTGGTGCTCTCCTCAACATATGGAGTAGTGGTGGTCTCGACAACTTCTGGAGCGTATGCGACTGTGGTTGTCGTCGTTTCCTCAACTGTGGTAGTCTCCTCGACATATGGAGTCGTGGTAGTCTCGATCACTTCAGGGACATATCCGGTAGTTGTTGGCACATCAGCAGCAGTAGTGGCTTCCTGAAAAAAAAAATTAAATGATTTCTACAATAAACTTGGAATATCCAAAATCTTACCTCGACTGTGGTAGTCTCCTCAATGTATGGAACAGTGGTGGTCTCCGTTACTTCTGGAGCATATGCAACAGTGGTGGTGGTAGGAACATCGGCGGCGGTGGAAGTCTCTTCCACGTATTCAGCTGTGGTAGTCTCCTCGACATATGGAGTCGTGGTAGTCTCGATCACTTCAGGGACATATCCGGTAGTTGTTGGCACATCAGCAGCAGTAGTGGCTTCCTGAAAAAAAAATTAAATGATTTCTACAATAAACTTGGAATATCCAAAATCTTACCTCGACTGTGGTAGTCTCCTCAATGTATGGAACAGTGGTGGTCTCCGTTACTTCTGGAGCATATGCAACAGTGGTGGTGGTTGGAACATCGGCGGCGGTGGTAGTCTCTTCCACGTATTCAGCTGTGGTAGTCTCCTCGACGTATGGAGCAGTGGTAGTCTCCGTTACTTCTGGAACATACTCGACAGTAGTGGTGGTTGAAACATCGGCGGCGGTGGTAGTCTCCTCGACGTATTCAGATGTAGTAGTCTCCTCAATGACTTCTGGAGCGTATCCGACAGTTGTAGTTGGCACGTCAGCGGCAGTGGTCGATTCGAGTCTGTATGGAGCCACCCAGGCCTCGGCAGTAGTTTCTGGAGCGTATCCCTCAGTGGATGGAACGTCTGCGGCGGCAGTAGTAGTCTCTTCGTATCCGTATCCATTGCTGTATGGAAGTTCTCCAGAAGCCTCAGTGGTCGTCTCCTCGGCTGATCCTTCGTAGTTTCCTGATCCGTTCTGGCATTCTGGGACGTTCATAGTGTAATCGCAGATGACGCGAGCCTCATCGAAAGAAAGTCTAGCTGGGCATTGCATTGGGATAGTGTATCCATTGGAGCAAGCGATATAGTGGTCGCTGCACTGTCCGAATGAGTAAAATCCGTCAGCTTTGCCGTTGCAAGTCTTGTCGAGAAGCGTACGTGTCACTGGCTCATCGTTAGCTGGAGCAGCAGTGGTGTATACTTCAACTGGAGCATATGGAGCAACAGTGGTCTCCTCTGGAACGGTGACATCTTCTGCTGGGGCCGTTGTTGTTTCAACCTCAACTGGAGCATATGGACTGGCAGTTGTCTCGACTGGTACGTCCTCAGATGGAGCGGCTGTGGTCGCAACTTCAACTGGAGCATATGGATCGACGGTGGTTTCAGCTGGAACTGTAACATTCTCAGCTGGAGTCGTCTCTTCCGTGGCTGGGTAGTAAGCTTGGGTCGAAGAGACGTCCTGTGGGACTCCGCTACACTCTGGGACGTTGTAAGAATACTCGCAAGCAATAATACGCTGATCGTAGATCAGGTTGGCTGGGCAATCCATGATTCTGGCGATTCCTAAAAAATGATAATCAGTTGAAGTTTTCTGAATATTGTAATACCTCCAGAGCATGTCAAAAATTGTGGAGAGCATCCGCCAATTGCATAGAGTCCGTCTTCCTTGGTTGAACAGTCTGTATCGATAGCAACGGCATCAGCACCAGTGACGAAGCCATCATCATTGGATTCATTGTACCCCGAGCCCTCACCGGATGCTTCAACGGTTGTACTTTCCAATGGAAGATTCTCGTACATTCCAGTAACACCGTACTGGGCGCTACTGGAGGCAACAAGAAAAGCCACAATAAGAACTGACTTGGGAAGCATCCTGGAAAACAAGAGTGTGACAAGAAGGAAAAAAATGGAGGGTCGAAGTCGGAAACTGACAACGAAATGACGACTGAACGATTTTGGATATTTGCAACAATGTCATCAAAACAAAATTGGTGTTCAGAAATTCCCGCCATGTCTGAAATAGAGATCAAAATGTTCTGGAATACGGTATTCGTTGTGATAGGATTTTCAACTCGTTTACAACTGTGCCTTTTCAAAAAATGATTACTGTAGTTTTTTTTGTTTTTTTCTTTTCTTTTTTCCCATTTGTTTCAGCCTTTTCAGTTTATTTGTCATACATAATTTTGTTGTTTATATTTTGTCCTGTTTCACTATGCATTCTTCCACATTCGTACGAATATTGTGCCCAAGCTGATTCCATCACATGCGCTCCAACGAAACGCGCGAAAATGGACTTTCGAAACAACTTCAGACTCTCGACTTTCTTTGAAATTTCCTTTGTTCGCTTTCCACTCGAGAACTTCACATTTTTTTCTATTTTTCTTTGCTTGTGTAGCAATATTTTTATCAAGTAATAATCTTCAGCACCTACTAACCATGTGGAACGAAACTGCCGATCACGAACACGGTGCCGGAGGATGGGCTGGAGGAGAGTCTTCCTTCATGACCGACAGAAAACCAGTAAGTTTATTTTCCATACTTTGAAAATAGCAAGGGACTTTTTTAGGATTCGAAAGCCGCCACACTTGGAGACAGACTTCCGGTTCCAGTTACCATCTCTAACCTCAACGAGCACTTTTCTGCCACTGATGACAAGTACATAATTGGAAACTTTCGTTTCGCTACTGTCCAAACCGTCGGAATTGTGAAGGAGATAAACCAAGAGGGAACAACCTGGAGCTACGATCTTTGTGATCCAAACAACGAGGCCATGGAGTACCGTGCGCTGAAATACGAGAACGAAGGATCGAACTCCGATCAGTCTTCAATTGTGGAGGGAACTCGTGTCCGTGCTATCGGAAAGCTGAAGAGTTTCGATGGGAGCAACTGTAGGCTTCAATATAAGTCCTGATTGTTTTGAAAAAATTGTTTTCAGCCATCATGCTTTTCAACATCACTCCTGTCACGGACGACAAAGATTTTACCATCTTCGAGCTCGAAGCCGAAGCAGCTCGTCTCTTTTTCCAAAAGAACATGAATGATAAGCTCAAATCGGATGCTTCTTCTAGAGGATTCCAAGGAATGTTGGCCCCGCCAAAGAGCAGAGCTGGACAACAGCCGATGCAGCAAAGCTCGCAAGGATCTGACAAAAAAGAGAGATTGTATCCAGCTCAGTCTCAAGTTAATGTTGAAGGAGACCTTAGACAACGTGTCACTGCCGTTCTGAAGGGCGTCTCTGAAGAGGCTCACGAAGAGGGATCAAACATTCTCTGGATTGCTGAACAACTTCAAGAGAAAGACATCAAGAAGTTGCGCGACTGTCTCTCTGGAATGGTCGAAAATGGACTGGCCTACACTACTACTGATGAAGAAACCTTCTCCGTCATCTAACTATACCGTAAACATTGATTTTGGTTCTGACTTTTCAAATAATTCCTGATACTCGAAACTATGAACACTTCACTTATCTTATTTAAAAAGCATTTATTTAAGACATATTGACAACGAAAATTTGAAATGATGCGGAAAGAGAGCATTGGGACGGCAAATCACAAATCAACCCAGACGATTGAACACACTGCGAGCTACCTGAAAGTATGAAGTTGCGAAGCATGAAGCTTGAGTTAAAAAAAATATGAATCGGGTTCTAGGTGTTAGGTCGAAAATGGGTTGTGATTGGTTTTCTAATACATCTTAAAATCACATTTTCAAGGAAAAGACCATTGTGAGGAACTGCTCGTATCCGACGGTGATCACTCCATCGCGGTCGCTGTCAACATCTCTGAAGAAAATGAACATTGAAAAATATGATTACTTTAAAATTGTATACCTGAAGGCGGCTGTGAGGGTTTGAAGGACGACGCAAAGTTGAATGAAGTCATCGAAATTGATTCGGTTGCTATGAGAGCGATCGAACTTATGCATGAGGATGTTGTAGAATTGTGGAGATAGCCGGTATCCTGAATTTAAAGATACTGTGCAAGGAAGAAGAGTTTCAAAGCTTACCGAATTGGGTTAATGCATTGGTGAGCTCAGTTTTGTCGATATTTCCAGAGCCATCAGTATCGAAACCGCGGAAACAATTTGTCCAATCATTGATGTATCTCCAAAGAGCCTTAAAATATTTTCTAATTTTTTCACCTTTCGGAGCGATTCTTCGGGAGTTTGGATTTTTTAAATTTTTCTTCACTTTTATGTGAATCTATATATATATATTTTTCTACACACATTGCGTTGACTTCAAGTACCTGGAATTCCTGGAAGTTAATGGCTCCATCTCCATTTGAGTCAAACATTCCAATCATCAAACGGCATGTTTCTGGGTTGAACGGGTTCCATGTTCCATTGGAAAGAGCTCGTTGAAGTTCGTCGGCACTGATTTGACCAGATCTGTATAGGATGATTCGATTAGTATTACAAAAATTTCCATGAAAAGAGTTGTGAAAAAATATACTTTTTGATTTTCCTGAAACAAGTCGAAAAAAAAAACGAAAATTGAGTACCAAACCCGGAAAATGAAAATATTTGATCGGGTTTATTTTTCACAGCTCTTTTCTCTTTTAATTATTGATATATTTAATAAGGTCATCACACTTTTCTTTAAAAAATATCTTACCGATCTTTATCTACCGAGGAGAAGATTTGTTGCAAGTTAGGTTGTTGGAAAGCCGTCATGAATATCACTGAAATGGAATAAAACTCGAGAATGAAATGAGAGAAAGAGCGAGAGTTGCGAACTACAATGGAGACGCAGAGTCCTGAAGAAAACCCAACAGAGCGAGAGGAGGCGCTATAAACAGTTGAGTGACGTCACACAATCGTATGAGTCATGACCCTCTTCAGATGAGAGGATACTGTTGTGAAATGTATGAATATGTTATTATCAGGTGACAAATCAAGATGCTAGCTCTTGGAATCCTTTCTTTTTTTTTTGATTTCGAAATCTGTGAGTCTCTTCGAATAATAACCTTGGGTGTGTTTTATCAACACAGAAAAAAACAGTTGGAGGAAACAATAAATATATTCATGATAAACTATTCAACACAGTGTTGTATACAAACCATGAGCAAATTGAAAGGAAAGGCGTTGAAGGACATGCTTTTATACATTACGAATGTTTTTCTTTTTTCTACATGATTTTCAAAAAAGATGAAAACGAAATATAAAACAAAAAAGGAAGATAGTTGAGCCCGTATTGATATTAAACATAGTATAACGGCAATGCCATAAATAATATTTTTCAGATTCGGAACTTTGCAGCAGCTGCGGCTGATGCTGTTACACTCGCAGGGGTCGGTCGATTGAAGGAAGACATTTGGTAAAAATGTTGAGGGTGTGGCATTTCAGATTCATAGAGACCAGCCGAATCAAGTGATTGTCGGCTACCCATCGACCCGTTCATCCGTTGCTCAGCAACTGACGGAGCTGTTGGCGTAGCGGCAGTTATTTGAGATGAACGACGGGCAGGTGGTGGAGGTCGAGATGCGGATGCTGAAATTACTCTGATTAATACCGTTCTCTACATTCGAATCTTACTAGTTCTCATTCTAACCGGCTGATTTGGTGCCTGATTGGGCGGTGGTGGATGTCCTACAGAACCATAATTACTTATACTTGAACTTCCTAGCGTTGAGACAGATGCACGTTTTCCAAGATCAGTATTCGTTTGGTGGCCTGCATATTCTCCCGCTTGAGAAGCTCTTCGTTGTATCATCGCTGCCACGTGAGCTGTCGACGATGCGTTCGTACCATTCTTCTGAGTGTTGTGAGACGGAACATCATGCAAAAAGTATCGCGTGGAATCCTGTGTTGCTCCATAGTTTTCTAGATCACTCAAATGACCAAGCTGGTCAATGTCGCGGCACGCTTCAGAGATGAGAAAAGCGCTTGTAGATGTTCCAGAACTTCCAGAAGACATTTCAGGTTGGCCACAGGAGGATGAAGTGGCTGGTGTTGCAGGATGATAGACAGTAGGAGTTGTACCGATTGATGTATTTGTATTCTGAAAAAAGATAAATACACTGAACTTTGTGAGCAATTTTGATAAACTTACAAAAGTTTCAAATGATAAGTTTTGGGGTCTCGGGATGCTTCCGCCATTTTGTTGATTCCGTTGATTGATGTATTGCTGATAGGCTGGTGGAGGGTTCGAATGAACTCATTGCTCACAGCTGAATTCGTACGCATTACTGGCTGATGATGTCCATTTTGTTGATATTGAGACATTTCTGTTATCGTGTTCGATGACGAATTTGCAGCGCCGTTTCCCATTAGATTCAGATAAGTAGAAGATCCATCAGTGTTAGGCGATGACATGGAATAGTGACCAATACTCTTCTCACTATTTCTACGTTGAAGAGGCGGTTTTGAATATCGAGTAGAACTTGAAACCACTGAACTAGCTGAAGAATCCAGTACAGTGTTCGTCAGAAGCGGAAGATTTCTAGTGCATGAAGTTGAGATGGACCTGGTTGTTCCTAGTCCATTTGTAGTTAAAGTATGCATTCCATCTTCAGAGAAAAATTACTCGCAGGAGTTGTGGCTCGTGTTGATAAATCCCGAATAGATCCCATGTACGAATATCCATCTTCACTGGACATCCATTTCTTGCCAGCCTGCGCCAGACACTGTTTCCAAGCCGAGTCTGGACCTTGAGCAATATCAGAGACTATAGATGAGACAAGTTGTTCTGTATCCACATGCTTCACTGTACTGTCTAGATTTTCAACTACTTGTCTCAAATGCGCTCCCTCGTCTAGCATATTCATTTGTGCATTCAGAACTGGCATAAGTGTTTGAATGAAGAATGAGAATTGTGTCCGTTGTTCTGTCAGCACCTTCGTACATATTTCTCTTTTGTCACTCATCGCCGTCACATCTGGTCTCTGCTTTCTTGCTCGAACCTTCTTCACGTGTTTCGATGCCATCTTATCCATATCGCTGCACCTTCCTTTCCAGTAATTTCCTCTCTGTTGCAAACTGATCGCTAGCTCTTCACATAACGCATCTGCCCAAGATCTCATTCGATTTTCTATGGCTCTTTGTTTGATACACACACGCGTTACACATGCTCCCACATCTCTTGAGGCTCCTGAAGAATTTTTTTTCGTTTGGAAGAAACTTGAATGGGTTAGACTACCTTTGAGATTATTAGCATTATCACAGACTAGCTGCATGGCTTCCGTGAATGAAGAGAGGCACTGTGCTGTCGCTCTGAGTTGTGTCCCAAGTTTTTGAGCTTTTTGACCTAGTGCATCCCATCCAGGATACGTGTGCTTCATATCATGAACCACGCTCTGGTAGAGTGTGGTCAGTAGATTGAACTCGGCATCTGGATCCATCCTGAAAACTGAGGGTTTTCTCCAAAAAAGTTTTGAAACGCGAGAGATAGAGATGTGGTTAGGCTCATGGTCATCTGCATCAGATCCTCCGAAAAACTTTTTGAGCATTCGTCAGTGATGAAACAAACAGATAAAACGGACAAACGCACCACAAAAGGGATGACGGGAAGGAAGAAAAAAAAGAAATAGTATCCAATTCAGAGAGGGAAGTAGAACAACAGTGCGACGGATTATGTAAATGTGACGAGGAGAAAAAGAGCCGGGAGAAAACGAAGGACGAATAAAAAACAAAGTGAGACTGCTGAGTGGGAGATCCGAAATCCCGTGGGAAAACGTTCGACAAGTGGATGGCTAATTGGTGATAGCTCACAGAAGAAGTTAAAAAAAGTGAGCGAGCTATGTTGCAACTCTCTCCCTCTGCGATGACCAACACCTACTCATAAAGAAGCCGCGCAACAGAATAACATCAACTTTGCAACAAAAGTCAAGATCAGTGGGGTCGATGCAAAAAATGCCGCTTCGTCGTCGTCAATCGAGCTGTACAAGAGAGAAGAAAGAACGACGAATGATAAACAAAACCTCCGTTGAGAAGAAACGAGGGATGGCGACCAAAAAGAACTGCTAATACTTTGGTAAGCTGGTCGTGAAGGGGAGGGACTACTTCTACTAATTCTACGAGTAAATAAACCGTTTCACTAGGGAGGTTTCTGTGCAATGGAAAATAAAGAAAAAAAAGTACCCTCCAAAAGAAACAAAAATAAAATCGACCAGGTTGATCATCCAGAACGATCTTTATTTGCATAAGCTGGGTGGTGGCCTCACCTCGAAGAGATATGTACAAAATGTAATATAAATAAAGGATAGTACGCGGAAAAGAGGTGCCATGTAGCATACAGGAAAAGATGCGGAAATCCATGGAAAGAGTGCCAATGGGGAAGAGCCATGAGCCATCCTTCACGCTTTGGAAACACAGTGTGCGCAGGTACTGTGGAGTGAGAGCACACAAAACAAGTACGGCACAGGAACCCGATCCCGATGGGAGGCATTGTGCACAAAAAGTGGAATACGAATAATGCGGTCACGGGTCATCAGCCATAGTGAATGCATTGTGCAGGCGGGGGAAAAACTGGGTGCACATTACGGTATCTCATTTCATGAATGAACTCCTATTCATGTAATGGAAATCCAGTTCGTAAACAGTTCGAACCTATGAGAAGGTAGATGTGTTGATAGAAACTGAATTGGAAAACTGGTGTTCAATACAAGACTGTAAACTTTTATTGACAGTGCCGATAATAGGCACACTCGGCAATGAATGGGGGGAAGAATGAACATATCAATATGCAATGTTGGAGAAGTTTGAAAGTCAAAAGAATTGAATTTTTTAATAGGATCAAATGTTACCGTATTTAGACAAAAAAAAGCTCACCCAAACCGTCCATTTTGAGCTCAATCATCTCGATTCCTGTGAAATATAGAAAAATTTTGTCAACTGATAAGTTATTTATCATATTTTACCAATATTTTATCAGATGACAAATGTTTAATATCTTCCACATTAATCGAGACTATTGAGATCAAAATTGACGGCTTGGGTGAGCTTCTATCATATATCAAGGTCTAGAACAACAAGAGATTAGTCAAAACAAAAAGGGTGAGGAGGCTTGATGTTGCAACAAAAGAACAAAAAAATGTCACAGAATGGATTAAACAATTCGAGTATCCACCCAGCGCCACGGCGTCATCTCGTCGTCTTCTTTTTACTAGTTGTGCTCCTATTACACACACATCGCTGAACTCATTTTCTATTACTAGGAAGAAAAAAAACGGAGGTCTGAGGGAAGGGGAAGATGCCAAAAACGAGTACTTCTTCAGCAATGTTTTCGAGACAAAAAAACCTTTTTTTTTGTTCGAGAAGAACACATGGGACATCGACAGACAGGATGTGACAATTTTGACAAGAAAACTACGAAGAGGGCTTCACCAAGGGGAGGTCAGTAAAAAAGATGAATATGAGACACTGAGAGTCGCCGGCGCCCGCCGAAAGCCGTGTCTTCTTACATGCTAAAAACGTCTTCTTTCCGCCTAACTTGTCCAATTTCTGGATGATGAGAGCACATACAACTGGCTATGAGAATAGAGACAGACGAGTATGGGATACACTATGACAGAAGAAAAAAGACTTTGTGTCCCTTGTCAAGTTTGAGAATTCATAACTTTCAAGTCAAGAATATACTAAAGAAATTCAATCAGTTGCAGGAAAAAAAGATAAGTGGAGAAAGCATAGAACCAGCTTTTCTTGATTGTTTTGTTACCGAGAACGGAAATCGAGAGCAATTGGAAAGAAATGTTTCGTCAAGAATAACAATAACAATACATAGGAATTCTAACATATACCAACATTTCTTTCCTTATTAGTTCCTCAATCTTTCGGTCTCCCAAACTTCTTCGAAACTTTGGAAAGATGAAAGGAATGAGTGGGTTTGTACCTTTTTCTATTCATTTTGAGCCATCTCAAGTGTTTTACTCAAGTGACGATGATGCTCATAAAAAGAATATTTATAAGGGGAAAGCAGAAAGAAAAATGTTTCAAAAAGCATATAAAACACTTCTTTGAATCTTTTCCAGAAATGTATTGAATTGCATAGCATCTTTTGGGATGACTTTTCGAATAAGAAGTTATGAATATCGGGGAAAAAAAAGATGAAGAAGAAGAATAAAATCATAAGAAAAATCGGATCAGTTTGGCAAAAAGTAGTGCATAGTTAAACGCCGAAAGGGTAGGTGTTTCCGGTTCGAATGAAAATTCGGAAGAAAGGGCGAGATAGACACCGAAACGACACAGCGTAACCAAACCAAAATTCAAGGTTATTGCACCGAGAATATAATGTAGATCTCACAAAGAAAACAAGAAGAAGAAGGAGTAGAAGCCAGAAGAATTTATTTATTCCCAAGTAAGACAGTCATGTAAACAATTTCAGTCGCCGTGCTTCTCCAAAATTAATCTTCTGCCAGCAAATTCTTTTACTTTTGAACAAATTTTCCATCTGCTTAAGAAAACAAAAAGGCGAAATACGAGAACTTGGAAGCTCAGAGCCCACCGCTCTCTATTTTTATTTCACAAAGCCCATGAAAATCCTTGAACTTTAACCACTTGTGAAGTAGGACGAACAATACAACGAGAAACTTTGATTTCGATAGCAGCTAAGCACACACAATCATTTATGTGAATCCACACTTAATTTCTCAAAGTTTATGGAAGTGGGAAAAGAATGAAGAAGGGGAAAGAAGGGGGAAAATTGAATTTCGGCAAGAAAAAGAAAAGTCCGTTCTAGACAACAACGTGTTCTCTCTTCAAATCCAAATATGAAATGGCTTCAGTTGAGAATGCAGACAGAAAAAAAAGGTGGGTCGCCGTTCAACCTCTTCTGCCCCTCTATTCACCTGTCAACATGCATTTGTCTTGGGATACCAATTTCAGGTATGACGGCGAAATAGAGGTGCAGCATCAAGAGAAGTGTAGGGGTGGCAAATCAAACCAAAATGAGATGAATCCTTCGTGTTGCGAAGTGAAGAAAATGAGAGGAGAAGAAGAAAGAAGAAGGGAAGAAGATGGGAGTCGGAAGGAAGGATAGTTGGCTACCAATGGGTTTCGCGGCTGCTAATATAAACAACGTCCACTCAAAACTTTTCTTCAAGAAACGATTCTATGCCTTCTTCATTTTCTTATATTCTCTTTTTGTTTCTGAAGAGGTAAGAAAAGTCACCTTAATTCTACCAAATCCTGACAGCTGTCCACTTCAGCGCGAGTGAAATAACAGCTGCCAGGAGGAGAAGAAGGTCGCAAAGAAGTCCATCGAGAATGAGGGGTCACCTGTGTAAGGCTGTAATTTGGGGAGGAGAACATTGTGTGAAGCTGGCATTTTATGTCACACATCCAGGTTCCTTCGAATAGTGTCCGGAATAGGAGAAATCGGAAAAAAGAGAATCGTCGAGTGTGCAGATGTAAATGTTATACATCAAAGCGGTACCAGGACATCTGTCCGGTCATAAACGGACATGGACGAAAGCGGAGAAGAAAATGAGTTATTATAATAAGGTCGGGGGTCCTGCCCGTCCAGAATTGGATGTTGGGGAAACAAGAGGATCAACGTCAAAGTGTGATCTACACATTTTTCATGCATAATGATGTTTCCATATGCATACACATGTATGATAATTATCAATACAATTGGGCAATTCGTATTGCGAGCAAAAAAATTAATTAAAATAGTGTACAAAAAGTGGGCGCCGACATGATGAATATAACGGAGGTAGGCGGGCGCCGCCATCACAGGCTGGATGCAACAAAAAGTAGTTAATTTGTACTATGGGATTCGATTCGTTTTTCCGATGATGATCGAACACAGCAATTGATCCATTGAAATTGTAGGAAGAGTAGTAGGAAAATCAACGGGAAACGAGAGAGATATGCGGCAAGTATGATGGGTGGAAGAGAAGAAGAACAACTATATATCAACATGTACGAGTGGTATACGGCGTCAGAAGAATCGAAGAATAAGAAAAGGCAGTTGACGGTGATTGAATCATTCGAATCCGTTTGAATCCTAAATTGCGGGATAGTATCGAGGAAGGGAAAGGTGAAATTCTGTTCAAGTTAAAATTAGATGATCTTCTAATTATATGTGACCAACTAATTCCTATCTGATGTGAAATAGATAAGATCTTAATTGCAAAAACTACTCAAAATCGTGCGAACTTCGTCACATGGTTAGAAGTCTGGTTTCGTGTCTCTGAAGTATTCGAGGTGAAAAACAAGGAAACAGGTTCAAATTCAGGATGTTCTAAAGTAAACGATGAATGGTAAAGTGATCAGATTACGCAAGATTAATTGAAAATTGGCGGAAGAATAGTGAACACAGTAGGAGATCGACGATCCGTACTATCTAGACGATTTGAATATGTATTTGAATTATCGAATGAAAGAGAATTATGTACATTTTAGTTGGCTTATGAAGGACGGATAACTCGCGCGACTTGGCTAACCATGCAGAGGAACAGTGCCTTTAAGGTCATCTGCGAATTCGATCAAACTGGCGGATGCATGAATAGGGGGTAATTAGACGAAACAGGCGCATATTGACTAGAGGAAGAGACGAGATGGTGTCGCCATCTAATACGAATAAACAAGCTCCTCCGGTTGGAAACAATAATTGAGCATTGGAAATCGGCTCACGTAACAAATTGCCTAGACAGATGGACCTAGAAGGGTGACACCTTGACAGAAATGGGCACCCGTCTCTTGTCTCTCTTGAATAATTTATTTGTTTTATAAATTGGAGAGATAGATCACCTGAGCTCTCGAACAACTCAGGATTATGTGCAAGACAAAAAAAGTACTCACACGTCCGTGATCTGTTTTGTTGCCGTTGGAATACACTCAGTGTGTACTCGAGTAGATTGTCAACACGTAATCGAGTAGATTACCTGAAAATTTTAGTTTTGAGATTGAATGTGCTTCATGGAAGTAAAATAAACAAGAGTTTTTATGTTTCAGCACCAGAAAATCAGTGGCTTCTATTCGAAAAAAAACTATTTTCGAATTCGCGCTATTTAAAGTTTCGTGGCGAGACCCACTAGCAAGCTACGGTCGCACTCGTTTTGATCGGTGTTTCCGCAGTTGCGACAGCAGCCATTATTTTTTCTGGAGCTTCATTTCAGTTACTTTCTTACGTTGTTTGTTCTCTAGATTTTGATTCTCAAGGAAATCTTTTAAATATATGGTTTTTTTCAGGCTTCGTTCACGGACACCCGTCGCGAAGCAGCTCAACAATGAGAGAGAAGGTACGTTTCTTTTTTACTGTGTTGGAAACTTTCAACTCAACTAACAAGAGGACTTATGAAGTTTTAAGCATTCTATCAGTCCTGATTCTATATAGTTCAATTGGATTAATGTGACTTAATTTTCAGTGGCGTAAGAAGCGTATGCGTCGTCTGAAGCGCAAGAGAAGAGCCGCAAAGAAGTAGACAATCTACGTCCGATTTCAAGAAGGTCAATAATGCTGTCAGTCAATGAGTCTCAATAAACCAACAACGATCGTCATCAAAGTTGCACCTCACTTGTTTCCAAATCAGTTGCTGCCTCTTTTAAACTAGTATTTTGTAATTTGTTGATTAGATTGTTTCTATGAAGCCTTCCAATAAACTTTATAAAATGTTTTATTCATGTCTTCAACGGTGATTAGTTTTAAACGATGATTGTTCAAGTTTTCGAGTCGGCCTGCTCACAGACGAAAGCTAGAGCAATTTGATAGCGAAGCCCATGAATGAATCTTTCACGATTCATAGAGGTTGGACGCGTGCTTAGAATTTCTTCATCTAACAAGTTGTAAGTTGATTCTAGAGTTTATGCTCGTCAAGACTGGCTTGCAGGCGTCATTTGCGAGGAAACGGTTTTCCTCGTCGGTATCGCGGCCCTAAAATGTCTTCCCAAAATTAGAAATTTAAAGTAAATCAGGAATGTAACTTGAAGTGTGTTTGTTGGACAAAATCTAGATTTAATGTGACGTCTTCTGATATATTTATATTTAGTATCAAATCTCCATGTTTCAAACAAATGTTAGTAAAAAACTCCGATTCAAACTGCGCGCCGGTCGCGTTGTCGCTGCGAGACCCGTCACCGTACTACGGTCGCACTCGTTCTGGAGAGGGGGAGTTTGTCGCTGCACGATAGTTTTGCGATGTTCTTACCTAAATTTTGAAAGTCTTTATGATTTGCCAACGATTTGTTTTTCCTTTTCAGAATTTCGTAAGACCTTTATCATTCTTTGATAAAAAAGTGCCGTTGTTTTTTGATCGTTTGTTGAAATGTTCCTTTTCTTAGACCTTTTTTTGCAGGCTTCGTCCACGGTCACCCGTCTCGAAGCAGCTCAACAATGAGAGAGAAGGTGAGTATCATTTTTAAATTAGGTTGATATAACTGAATATTATTGATCATACAAAACCAATTCTTTCAGTGGCGTAAGAAGCGTATGCGTCGTCTGAAGCGCAAGAGGAGAGCCGCAAAGAAGTAGAGCATCTACCTCCAGTTTCAAGACGTTCAATTTTGCTGTCAACTACTGAGCTCATCAACACCATCATCTCAACAGTCGTCATCAGGATTGCTCGTCACTTGTTACCATCTTTCTGTTGCAATGGACTATCGTTTCAATTTTTGTCTTCAAAAGTTAAATGAATGGTTTATTCTAAACAACTTTTATGTCTTGATCAAAATATAATTGATGTGGAATAGAAGGTCCATCTACAAACAAAGGAAAAGAATTATCGCCAGTACATCGATACTTTCCAGCGTGTTCCTCGGCTAACTCTTTGAGAATTAAGTTGTTTCCGTCGTATTCTATGTTCTCAGAGTTACCTAGAATTCGAAGGATTGCGCATGTAGTACTGGTACAGAACATACCTAGTGGCTCGCCATCTTTATCCCACCTAACCATTGGCTCGGGATTACCAAGCATCGGACATTCTAAAACCATTCTTTCGCCATGAAGTCCTTTTCGCTCAGCGCCTGCAAGGACTATATATTTCCTGAGGCCATATGCAAGAAAGTGGAAAACCGTTTTCCGAGTGTTTGGAAAACGATTTTTTGAAAGTCTGACAAGAATTTTTACAGTGATTACATACATTTTTAGT